TAGTAGCCTCCTTATCACTTGTTCTTCCTGAATATAGATCAGAAACAAATGTAATCATTCCAGATGGTGCAATGCCCACTAATCCCTTAGCAGTATTATGATGTTTGTAATTTGAGTATGTCTTGCTTTGTGATCTTAGGGAGCTTGGCATTTCTATAAACAGTTCGGTGCAATCTATTATGACTCTGGTTTGGGGGTAGGAATCCTTAAAGCTCTGAGGCATTGTCTCATTTACAATTGACCTTGTGGGCCATATTGGATGACTTCTAAATCTTGTGTGTAAGAAATCATGCCAAGTTATGCAGATTCTTGAAACATGGGATGCTGAAATTCCAACTCTGCAAGCTAAATCATCCTCTAGTAAACCACATCTTAGCCTTGTAAGAACCATAAAAAATTCCTGTTCTGCAGTAAGTGTCCTTTTCCTTCCCCGTTTTCCCTGAAGATGGCTAGTTAGTCTCTCCGAGTTGGTGTTAGAGTCATAATAAATCAGGTTTTCTACAGCAGAACCAAAAGAATCAAAAATGCTTTTAAAGATTGTGTAGTCTTCAAGCCCAGTATAAAATTTCAACATATTTGCATCATCTTTAAATCTTTCGATTGTAAATGATTTCTTGAAAACTTGATTCTCAAGATTCTTCACTTGAATTTCATAACTTTCCTTCAAAGACACTAGTTCTCTTTCAAGTTCCACTATTCGTAAGGTTAATTCCTCAATTTTTTTCGTGCAATCTGCATGTATATTAACTTCTGGTTCAATATTGTCACTTTCATAGTTGAAGGAATTTTCAGTCGTTTCAAGATCATTGTTATCACAGCCAGATTGAGAGAAATCCGTATCATTTGGGTTCAAAAATTCACGATTCCTTGCACGTTGAGTTGGACGAGGCTTCGCGACCTTTGATTTTGAATTTTTTGGCACAATAGTTGGAACATTGTTGTCGTATGTTTTGGCGCCACCAGGAAAATGGGCTGAACAAACACGRTGATTAGGGCCCGGTTCAAAGTTTTTTCGACTGACCAGGAAGATCCATCTCTTTCTTAATTGCTGTTTTTCTTTAGTATGACCGTTGGGAAATCTATAGAAGTGCAAATCTGTGTTTTTTTTGTTATTGTTGTAACACCCGGGAACACAACAAGTGTATCCGCCACGTGTCTTTTGCGCCTTAGCCTTAAAGCCATTTGATGACGTTTTATCTTCAAAATTAACGTTCTCTGGATGTTTGGATGTTGGCTCATTCGGCTCAGAAGAGCTAGGTTCAGAAGAGAGAGCCGTAAAGGAATCCAATTGTTCCGATGGAAAACTTCGCGGGAAATTTTCCGCCATTTTGTCCAGATTTGATACCACTCTAACCACAATGCACTGGGCACTTTCATATGCAAATTTTATAGAGGGAGTCGAGAATTAGGTGTTAATACAAAATAATAAACTATCAAAAATAGTCCACTTCGCGGATAATTCGAAATTTTACATTACGTCGTTATGGTAAATCATTGACATCACTAGAAAGAGCGTCATAAAATCAGCAAATTTGCCAAGTTTGAAAATAATCTGATTTAAATTCAAAGAGATACGGCACTTCAAAAACACTAAATGTTGCATAGAAATATTTGGCGAGGTTGTAACAAGTCAAGGTCAACCTCGATCTCATGCCGACAGACCATACATTTCTTTGTAAATTTTGCCGACTTTTAAACGCTGTTTCTCCTTGACTTTTCATCGAATCATGCTAAAACCTGGTAAACATACTAATTTTATACTGTTCTTTCCAGTGGTGGTAATAGTTTTTCGATATTTGCTCAATTTCTAATAGCTGTGTTATCCGCGAAGTGGACTATTTATCAAAATTGATTATTTTACCATTCTTGACAGGTATATCACTCCCTTCTGCAACTGCTCTTATCCTTAATGGAAGATATCCATTATGCTTCTCCAAAATATAATTCCACCCTACAAGACAAAGAATACATTAACAATATCAACAATTATTCATTGTCAGACTCTATAAATGGTGACAGGTACAATGGTTTTCTGTAGTACTCTGACTGGCTAAAGAAGCTGATAGGTTCAAAAGAATGCTTATATTTGAAAGCGGTGATTGACGTTGCTGCAGTTGTCATTTTATCGATGGTTTATAATATGCTAATAAAGCCTATTAAGAGTGGATGCCGGTAAGAATCAAACATTTTCAAAAAATCTTGCCAACTCTTCAAAAATCGATTTCGCTCATACTCTGAACTTAGGTACCCTATTATATAAGATAAACAACCATATTTGGATTTTGAAAATAACGTTTTATTTATGAGTAAATTGAAGTTTCGTGGAACGATGTAAATATGCTAATTTTCGAGCTATGAAATGGCGATAAACTGATGGCCTTGTTTGGTTAATGCAGCAATGTTTAATGCTTAAAACATTTATAAGATAAAAATATCACCCATTTTCTTTCATTTGTGCGAGTTTTAAACTTGTGGCTTATATCTAAAATTTCTGGTGAATTTTTATAAATGACACCTGTTTTTGATCGTTAAAACTACTATCAAAATAGCCGTCGATTTGACAAAGACCGATATGATCAAATCAAATGATCTTTGCAGGATAAAATGTCAAGGAAGAGTTCTTTCGATCTATGTAAAAATATCGTTGGGTAAATGTGTTTATGCTTCGCTAGAACTGACCAAAGTTACCAAAATATTCATATTTTCAACAGGTGTGAAACCAACAAGTTGATAAACACGTCAACAAAATAGATCGCTTTATGTTGTGTTTCATACCNGTTTATCTCAAGAATTTTTGTGTTTTGAGACGTTCTAACCACTTTTAAACAGGCCATACTTGATCTCCTATTGGGCTTCCTGTGGTTAATTAAGCGCTCTAAGTGATGCTATTTTTAACTCTTATCGTAAAACTTTATTTGTTGTTTATCTGTTTTATTAGGAGATTTTCATAGAACTTTGCCTTCGCTAAAATTTGATTTTGTACATACTAAAAAGGAATAATTTCAGCAAAACAAAAAGAATTGTAGCAATTCAAAATTTGATTGGCACTTATGAGTAATTGATTTCCTTTATGCCCAAGCGCACGGCCGCCAAACTGCGTTTTAGAAAATTTGTTTAGAACACTGGGTTTACAACACTGGTTTGTTCAGAGCCCGATAAGGGTTAACTCTTAGAAAACCTATGTTTAACCCTGGATTAACGCAAATCGGGCTTTGAATAACCCGGCCCAGTACTATCGACTATCTACTATTGGCCATCGTTCCGACTTTTCCGTGCCTCGACAAAGCTTTTGTCACTCTGCATCTGGAATTTGAGCCTCTCCTCCAGTCAAAACCAAGGCTTGCACGATGATTTTGACAAATTTTCATGTCAGCGACTTTTGCCTTGATTTTAAAGAGGGATGCGCGACTAAGAATAAGTTCGGTTTTGTTTTCAAGGGGGGGGGGGGGTACTTGCCCCAAACATGGGTGGGGGTGTGTTGCTGGGACATCAAAACAGAGTAACATCGCTGAAAACTATACCCTGTTCCATAGTAAAAAAAGTGAAAAAGATATCCTGTTCCAGAGAAAATCCAGCACTAGCCTGCGTGTCGACCGAAATTTTACCCCGTGAATTGTTACCCTGCATCAATAATTCCGGAATCAAACCATAACCCTGTTCCAGAGAAAATTCTTTGAAATCGATACCCTGTTCTAAAGTAAAGTCACTAAAAACGATACCCTGGTTGGCGGCATGCCTCCGTAAAGCGAATATAGGTGAGTTCCCCCCCCCCCCCCCCCCCCCCGGTTTCAAGACCTGTGAACTTGAATGACGTCCTGTGCTTCGAAATGTTTTACTGTACGAAAGCAACGGAATTGTTTGTTTTTCATTAACCCGATTTAAAGCGCGATTGCCTCCAACGAGGGATCTAAATGAAAACAAACGTCAATGTCGATAGTACTGTGTTGTAAAAAAATTCTCCAAAACGCTTTTTATTGTACAAAGAACGGCGGCCGCACGCAAATGCAAAGTTCTATGAAAATCTCTAAGATAAACTACAAATAAAGTTTTACGATAAGAGTTAAAAATAGGATCACTTAGGGCGCCTAATTAACCACAGGAAGCCCAACAGAAGATCAAGTATGGCCTGATTAAAAGTGATTAGAACGTCTCAAAACACAAAAATTCTCGAGATAAACACAAGATAAATGTTAAGTTTAGTTTATGCTTGCTCTTGGGTATGAAACACAACATAAAGCGATCTATTTTGTTGACGTGTTTATCAACTTGTTGGTTTCACACCTGTTGAAAATATGAATATTTCGGTAACTTTGGTCGGTTCTAGCGAAGCATAAACACATTTACCCAACGATATTTTTACATAGATCGAAAGAACTCTTCCTTGACATTTTATCCTACAAAGATCATTTGATTTGATCATATCGGTCTTTGTCAAATCGACGGCTATTTTGATAGTAGTTTTAGCGATCAAAAACATTCATAAAAATTAACCAGAAATTTTAGATATAAGCCACAAGTCTAACACTCGCACAAATGAAAGAAAATGGGCGATATTTTTATTTTATAAATGTTTTAAGCATTAAACATTGCTGCATTAACCAAACGAGGCCATCAGTTTATCGCCATTTCATAGCTCGAAAATTAGCATATTTACATCGTTCCACGAAACTTCAATTTACTCATAAATAAAACGTTATTTTCAAAAACCAAATACATGGTTGTTTATCTTATATAATAGGGTACCTAAGTTCAGAGTATGAGCGAAATCGATTTTTCAASAGTTGGCACGTTATGTTTGATTTTTACTGACATCCGCTCTTAACAATCATAAGTGAAATTTAATGTGAAATAGATAAACTAAATTATTGTTATAGCCACAGTCAGGCATATCATAACCCTCACGTCCAAGTTGTGTCCCAACTCAGACACAATTGACAGCAGGAATTGTTATTACATGAATTTCAACAATTAAACAAAGTTTATCTTCAGTATATATCTTTCTTTATCATATGACCCGTATTTCGGCCCTATGCGCGCTCTGAAGTTCTTGAAGTTCCGTGCGCTTTTATTTATTTTTTTACATTAAAAAACGCTGTCATATGATAAAATGCTTATTGACTGAGTTAGGTCGGGCTGTACGGGAAAATATTTGGCTCTCGGTCATTTGTGGCATAACCTCGAGCCAAATATTTTCCCGTACGGCCCTCCCACTCAGTCAATAAGTACATAATCTTTCACTCACTTCAAAAGACCAGTCTCAGACAATAAAGCATCTTCAATCCGAGTACAATCATGGGAGTTAATGACTATAATATTGCATTCAAGGCTAACCTTCCTCATTAAAAATGTCTGATCCAAAATGAAGCTTGTATAACTGCTTTGCCTCTTCAATTTTGCTTTTGGTAACAACCTGACCTACAAGCCATTTCTGGAAAGTGACAATTCAAACATACAAAATCTCAATATAAATAAAATAGCATAAAATGTTCTCAAAGCATTGCCTTTCTTAATGTCAAAAATTTAAACTAAAAAAATACTATTAAAAAATAAAGACTTGAATGATTCATTGTTTTACGGCTACAAGCTGGTTTTGTATGGTCAGCAAAGATGACCAAACTTGTCACTTGTAAACTACAATGAATGCAAATGACTGTTAAAGCTTGCTGGTAGTTAAAAAACGTTTATTTTAAAATGATAGTATTATTATCGCTTTAGGCATAGATTACATTTTATGGTGATGTTGCTGTAAGCTTGGATTTTTTTTTTTCATTTTTCAATTATATGTTGTAGTGGTGCTTCTATGTGAAAAAAACCCAGCAACAACAACAACAAACAAGGAAAATAACCTAAAGTACGTAAATCTAAAAAATGTAATCTAGTACATGGGTTGCCCAACCTAAAAATTTATCAACATTTGCAAAAAACACTATTTAAGTTAAATAGAAGATTTTTTCCATGACTCTACTGGTGAAATAGAGTAAGTGTGATGTTGGGAGAGACACAAGAAAAGTTTTAAAGTGTGAACGAGCCGGCCCGTGACTTTAAAACTTTTTCGAGTGTCTCTCCCAATTGCTCGTTTTCAATCATCCTCATGAAATTCAAAAGATAAAAGACCGCCGGCCATGTTGGTTGAATGAACAATAGATACTAATTAGAAATCCTTTGTTGAAGTTCAACCACGATGGCGGCTGTGACGTATATTGCAAAAGAAGAATATCACAAGTGCTCTATTTCATCGGTAGAGTCATAGGAAAAAATCTTCTATTACTTTTATGACATAGCATTTTGAAATTTTGATAAAAATATGGTTTTATTTTAAGATGAATACAGATATTCTCCTTACATTGAGCGCGTATTACGTAAGACGGCATGATCTATCTGTTGTTTTAGGATAGACAAGAGAAACAATTCAGATGATTGAACTGTTTTCTGTCTTTTTGTGGTTTGAATCATCTGCTATGTTGGGCATCTATTGAAGTACCTATGATTCTTTGTGAGCTGATTCTATATAAAATAAATAATCAAATGGTGAAATATTCCTACATTTTAGTGTTGCATCTTTGAGTTACAGCCTTTTGCAAAAATTATGAGAATTGTTGAAATATCTAAATATCATAATATCGAGTGCATGATGGGTAATCCCGCGCGATGACCTTAGTCCCTTGTCTTTGTAGTTTATTTTTTTTTTGGCGACAGACTTATCCGTAGTTCTGAACATTTTCTCGATGTCAACAATGAATTATTCTAGCTAACCCACGCGTTCCAGACAATATATGGATATGGATATTATGATATTTAGATATTTAGACAATTCTCATAATTTTTGCAAAAGGCTGTATGAAGGTTCAATCTTACAATATACTAATGAAAATGACGTCAAAGAAGGCTTCATTAGATATACAAACTTCGAAGTAGTCGCTTAAAAATGGTTTCATGGCATTAAATTTATCGTATGCAATGTAGGGAATAACCATATTACCAGATGGCGTTCATGAAAACAGTTTTTGAGCGACTGTTTCAAAGTTCGTATATTTAATGAAGCCTCCCTTGACGTCATTATCATTAGCATATTCAGTTGTAAGATTAAACCTTCAAAACTCAAAGATGCAACACTGAAATGCAGAAATATCTCACCATTCAATTATTTACTTTATATAAAATCAGCTCACAGAGAATCAGAAACTTTTTTGTCAGGCGTCATAGGCACTTTAACAAGAATCCTGAACATGTGAAATACCTTTAGAATATATTGAAGCCCAAAGAAGCACACACTTTGGAATTTCCCTCCTCTGCTCTCAAAATATGAGAATACTATAGATGTATTCTTTGGATATTGTTTATGATGAGAAACCTGAATAGAATAAACAACATTAATAATATTATAATATTTACTTCAATAATAAATAATCCTAAAACAATCCTTAGTATAACCACACACCAGTTGAAAAAAACCCCAACAATAACAACAACAACAACAACAACAAAACAAAAACAACAACAAAACATTACATGATCTGTACTCTTTGTTCAGGTTTCCCTCCCAAGTGGCAAGAAGGCAAAACAGTTGGCTATTTTCAATAGCTGAGAACAATTAACCCAAACCCTGTCTAGTGGTCAAGGTAAGACAATTTAAAGTAGAGCATGGCCTATTCAAGTATTTCGCTATAAATATAGCACGTGGCCTATTGTACATGATGCTGCTTTGTTTTTTTCACATACAAAAAATTTATGAATTGTATTCTTCGACTTGTCCTACATTATAAATTATTTGGATATAAAAAAATCACTAAGGACATTAACAGCCCTGCCTGTATGTGACTAGATTGTCAGACTGGTTTAATCAACAACTGACTTCTTGCATTATTTGCAAACTATAGATAATGCATATAATATGTACTGACAGTAATGAATAATATCAAATTGATACATAACGATAAATAATAATTGAATTCAGAACAACAAATATAACAAAGTCGGAAAATCTTAAAGAGTATATTATGTTTGAGATCTCCTGGTTGTAGGTCTTGAGCTGGTTTAGGTATTTTGGAATTATGACACGTGTTATAAAAACTATAAGCATTTTCACTTTCAGTTTCACATTTCGAACCTGGTCTTATTGTACTGCAGAAATACATKAAACTTCGTCGYCATGCCCACAGCCCCCACGAAACAATTGAAATCTTATTAGCAAGTTGTGTTTTATCTCGTTCTTTAACAGATAACTGAAATAAAAATTGTCAAATTCGGCCAATCAGTATTATATCAATAAGTTTAATATTTGGATAAAATATCTTGACTAAACTTTTCAGTATTAAAAGTTTGATCGATATGCCTTTGAGAATAGTTAAAATAACAAATGCATAACATCAAGATGCAACACGACAGTACATTGTACACTAGTGATTTAATTAGAGAAMTATTTTAGTTGAAAGTACAACAATATTTCACTAAATAAAACACAATTCCGGAAAGTTGACTTCCAGGAATCCACAAGGCTTGTCATGACCGATACACACACTGAATCACATCTTATTTGGATTTGATTTGGTCGAACATTATGAGATATTTACAATCTATAACTCATTAATATATCAGCTAAGATTGCTCACCTTATATGAATCAGTTAATAGTAATATATTATCCATGTGTACTTGACCCGCTTCACAAACAACACTTGCCATTTCTGCCTCAGTGTGACGGATTCTCATGGGTCTCGTTACACAGGTAACCCAAGTTAACAATTTGCGAGGAGACTTTTCTCAGGAAAATATAGAAAATATTCCTAGAGATTTTCAAGAACTCGAGGAAACAGTTATCTAATCTCAAGTACATTTTMTTTCGTGTTTGATGTAGAAACTGGCTAGCTTGACAGAGTTCCACGCCTAACAGCTAATTTTAAAAAAACAGTCTCATGGGTTACCTGTGTCTAAATGTGTTCGTCAGATCTCTCAGGTTTATTTAAAATCTTAGTGTGCCAATTTGGAGTGTCTGGTGTTTGCATTTTCTGCAATCTCTTAGGGTCAAAATAAAAGAAGAGAAAGAGTGCATCGATACTGATTTTCCGCTATTTCTATCATTGGAAGTACAACTGTTTTTATTTAGGGGTTAAAGATCAGTCAGCCACACCCTTTGTCCAAGATCTTTCAGGGGTCTTTTTTTAAATTCTGACAAACATCCTTGATACTTTTACCCTTAAGTTCCCCCCAGGGTTAATCAAAATACTATTGCATTGTAAAGCTTTGGCGACATTTGAGTGATCACAGTCAACTCTCGYCTTATTATGGACACCCCTCTACAATGGTCCGTAATAGTGAGAGTTGACTGTAACAAGTTTCTCTTCCATTTTCAGAAAAGATTATACAAACATAAATATTTGTAAATATGACCATTTTATATAAAATTGTTCTACAAATTCTTAAAAAGATGTTTCCATAATTTTCAAGCTATCATTCTATCCTTCTTTGTACATTGTAATTACATCATGGTTTGATACTATTCTAAGGTYCATGTAATACAGACTAACAAAAAGTGAGCTGTGAAAGTCCATAAATTGTAAACTACCACAAACCTAGCATTCTGATTGGCTTTTGAACTAGGTTGCTTTAAACTTCATCCTGTAACTTAGTGGTAGGCTTGTGTAGTTATGACACTTTGTGGTCTTGTAGTTCATCTTGTCTGTTTTCCATTATTTCAAAGTATTACATTTACCAGTTTGAAGACCACAAAGTGTCATAACTGTTTATCTATTAACTATATGCATACAATAGCCAACTGTGGCTTTGCATGATAATTAACTTTGGGCATCGAGGGTTTGTCATGCAGCTTCTACATATGGTTCTACATGTACATTGTGCTGATGCACAGAGGCTCTCATGTACACATTAAGTTAAAAAGAACCTAACACTTACACTTAAACTGAGAAGAATTTGTTTTAGCAGTGAGCGTAAAGATTCAAGCTCAAATAYACAATGCCTAAACCATGTACATTCCCTAAACCTAACCATTTTAAAAACCATGACATCAGCTCACTGCAGCAAACCTGAATTTTTGCAATATTTGACCAACAGCATTCCTGAATAAATCATGTGTATGTACATACAATTAGTGAATCTYCTATTTGGACATGAGAGCCTTCTATAGRTACATCAGAGCCATGCATATGGACATCCATATATGGAAGTCGTACGACAGACTCTTCTCTGAATTACACAACAATAAATGTCCTTTTTCCAGTTTTAATTTCTTGAGTAAAATTGTATACTTTCTASTGTTGAAATGGATTGGCATTTGTATCAAATTCTACCATGATGCAATAATAAGATTCAACTTTCATAACATTACTATACACACAGTCGTGTAGATCTATTGAAAGGTTTTTATAGTAGTATGTAAGAATTAGAAACAGCATCTTAAATATTGATGAYACAGACTGACACATAAAGTACATACACTATTGTATTATTTTTGTCCAGAGACAGTAAATCTCTTAATTATAATAATTAATGTAATAATCGTATGAGGAAGTGGCTGATCCCATTAAAGAGTGCTCAATACACATAAAGTGTAGATCTAGTTATGTATATGATATCAAAGAGGCAAGATTTTGCTGTTATAACTCCGAGTTTCGTGCYACGCACTCATCAGACAGTATTACAGCAAAATCTTGCCTCTTTGATATCACATATATAATTAATGTAATATTTATCTTAAAATCTTTAAACAAGCTAAATGTGTTTATTTAGCTTAGTGGATAGGCAAAATACATACAGGTAGTATATAGACATTATGTAGGCACCATAAAAAAAATATATAATAATTCAAAGGCAAAACAAAACAAAAACATCCATCTATACACCATATCAGGTTAGCAACAGCCATATCACAACAGCACTGATTGCTGACATGCACATCACAACAGCACTGATTGCTGACATGTATATCACAACAGCACTGATTGCTGACATGCATATCACTACAGCACTGATTGCTGACATGTATATCACAACAGCACTGATTGCTGACATGCATATGACATATTTAATAACCTTACATGTACTTCCACTAAACAAAATATGCAGCAAGCTGTGACATTTTGTCTTTAGGTTGTCCCCTTCCCCTCCCACGTCTACGACCCCTGCCTTTTCCTCTTACTGCCCTGCCCCTCCCCCCACGGTACATGGGATGTTTCGATGCTGCATGCTGCATGGAAACAAGAGGAGTTAGCACAGAGTCACAAAATATACATCCTTGATGCTGAGTTTTGTTGCCTGGTAATGGACTGTTAGCTTTGTTAAAGTCAACATCAAGAAGAGCTGAACCACATGAGCACTCTGTATCAGCAACAGAGATTCTAAATGCACCGTCACAGATATGAATCAACATATTGCAGCTATTGCATGCTATTCTCCACTTTGGAGCTGAAGTAGGATCCAAAACAAGGCTTCCTTTGTCACATTCTGTACAATCTGCTACACCAAGAGCCTCTTGAGAGTGTGCACATGTTGGRTGTGTGCAATGGTTGCAGCCCATACCTTTGCGCATTTCTGGAAATGGTGGATGATTGTAGCAATAAGGACAAACGGGAGTGCTCTTTCCCTTGGAACCAGTTGACCACAAGACAAGCTCGTAATCATCTAGAGGGCATTTCAGCTCTTTGTAAAGCTTAATGCTACCATTTTGTGGAAGRCTGTAGGTGTCATCACACGTCGCACAATGCAGACGACTTGGCTTTGCTTGAATGTACTTCATGAAACGATTACACTTGCCGCATCTTGACAGTGGCTTTCCTGTTTTGGCCAAAGGTGTGAAAGACACCTCAAATAGTTCATCCATACTTGTGATTGTTGCAACAAAGAACCCATACTTCTTGCTGAAGATATCAATACTGTGTTTTARTACAGCCTGGAAGTCAGCCTTGCCTTGAGCAATCAAATTCAGCTGTGTCTCTACTCCAGATCTCATTGTTGGTAACACTAGTTCTGGGTCAATTTTCTGATACCCATGAACTAGGACAATCCCTAGAGAAGTGGGCACCAGCTTTCTTCCACTCTGAACCTGTACATAGTTTCTCTCACAGATGTTGTTAATGTGAACTGGTATACTAGCATCCGTACCAATGCCATGCTTCTCCATCAATGATATAAGCTCACTCTCTGTCAAGTAGTCAGGAGGGGAAGTTTGATGATCCTCAAGCTTGATTTCAGAGATTTCACAGACATCACCCTTGACAAATGGTGGTAATTGTGCATCGCTGGATACTGCTTGCCAGCTCATTACAGTAGTGTAACCAGGGTCAGTAACGGTTTTACCTGAGCAGCTAAAGCATTCCTTGCCAATAACAAAGTTGACAGTGGTTTGTAGGTACTTGGAGTCAGGACTGACAGTACCAATAAAGTGWCGTGAAATGAAATCATACAATCTCCATGCATCACCACTTAGCTCAGCCTGTGTTGCATTCCTCATTGGTGTGATTGGAGGRTGATCACCAGCATCATGACCTTTTTTTGGCTTTGTCATCTTTCCRTTTAACAGCTCATCAATGTAATTACCCCAGTTTGGGTTTCTTGCCAACTGTTTCAAGGTACCTTTCAAATCAAAGTTATCAGGGTAATGTGTTGTTTCAGTTCTAGGATAACTTATATATCCCTGTATGTATAACCTCTCAGCTACCTGCATAGCATGTTGAGGACCAATGCCTAATCCTGATGAAGCAGTACGTAGAAGCTCAACAGTGTTAAGAGCCTGTGGTCTACTCTTTGCTTTCTGAGTTTGTGTTATTCCTACAACTTTTGCAGTATGGCTTTCTTTAATCATATTCTGAAACATTAATGCAACATCTTTGTCAAATAGTCTTAGTCTGCACCAGTCTAGTGGGTATATTCTACCACTATCATGTTGTACTTTTGCCTTAATTACCCAGTAGGGTTCAGGCTTGAAAGACTGGATGCAGTCATGCCTTTCGACACAAAATCCAAGAGTTGGGGTCTGGCATGGCCCATATGATATCAAAGCACTGTCCAAATCGCCATATTTTCCTTGAAAATACTTCGTCTGAAATCTTGTGAATGCGCATCCAATTCTTAAATCCAATTCTTGCCTCGCATCTACAGACAGAGATTCGTTCTTGTTCGGATATCCGAGTTTTTGCATTGCACTAAAAATATCTTTTTCAGTGATTGCGGAGAACTTAGCTCTATAGATAACCTGTTCGCCACCTTTTTTATTCATGGCBGACGACACACAGTCAATGACTTCAAAGCAGATATTTTCGCCTTCTTTATCACAATCTAACCAGAGAACCAAATAATCGACGCCTTTGGCTTCTTGGTGCAAGAACTTAGGCATATGTAGTTTTTCTGTTGCCTCTTTTTTCAGAGTATCGGCGTGAAAGAGCTCAAGAGGGTCGACTGCATCCCAGTTATTGTACATTCGATGGAAATCTAAGCTCATAACATGACCACAAACGGACGTCACCTTGAACTTCGCCATTTCATTCCTAAACATACCATTGTACTCGTGAACTGAACACGCACCATTGAAAGCCTTCCTTGAGGTCATGTTTCCCTTGGAAAGAATCCCTGCGATTGAATTAGCTATCGAGGGCTTCTCCGCAACCATTAGAACAGTCCTCATGTTGAACTTAATCTAAAGTCACGAAGGCGATCAAAGTTTATCTCCACAATGAATTTTAGAAATGTTTGAACTGATTCACAGAATTTGAGTCTGCACATACACGTGGCAGAGATCAGCGGCAGCGAAATCTAAACATATGCACAACACAGGTTACCCGCCGATTTTGACCGTTGTTTTACTGGATTTATAAACACATAAATATCTACATATTGTTTGTGAAATGCAAATGAAAAGGAAAAAAGTTACTGAAAAATTTCGAATTTGTTTAGAGGACGTCCTTTGATATTAAAAGGCAAATTGTTTTCTTTTTCGACTTTGGCCACCGGCAGCCCACCCTGAAWTTTCCCCTTTTATCAGGAGCCTCCTGCTTTTATTAATCAGAATAGAAAAACACCGTGCGCGCATCTTGGTTTAGATACAATATTTTGAGTTCTGTGTACATGACCATTCAATCAATATGCCTAAAGCAGGCTGTTTCATCGAAAAGTGCATTGGACTGGGTTCGTACTCTATGAGATGCCGTTTATTTTCGCGACGTGTTAATGCAAATGAGTACACTGAAGAAAGGTAATTCAGTCAAACACTGCAAGGGCGGATCCAGCTGAAATTTTAAGGGAGGGGGGGGGGGGGGCTAAATGGGTTTTATTTGTTATAAACAACATTGAAAATAATAAAAAAGAAACAGTTTACGTTTCATGCTCAAAGGAGGGGCTACAGCCCCCTTTGCCCCGCCCTTACATTGCAGCGATATACGGGGGTTTACGCTAGTATTATGATACGCTTTCAGTAATGCAGTACCAATTGAAACCTGCTTTTTGATTGCTCCTTAAGTACAGCACCACTATTGTTAGGTTAGGTTTTGTTATATTGTTGGAAGACTTATCTATTGTTTGTCCATTGTTTTCTCAACCTATCATGAGACCCGTTCCGAGCGGTGCTACCTGGCTCTACGCTTTGAATAATAACAGTTACAATTTTATTTGTCATACAAGTATACATTGTCCAAATCTAATTAAAATAAATTAAAATTATACATCAGATGAATTTTGAAAAGTTTTTGACGGAGTACATTCCATATCTGGTTTGGCTTGGTGTCGGCCCCGAGATGCTACCTGTGTTGATWCTATCTTTGTATGCAATATAGACTGGCTGCCCAAATAAAACCGTTGCACGAATTGCCAGCAATCCAATGAAGTAGTCCAGCCTACCTCGAATTGACAACATAAAATGGGCTGCTTGCAGTGCAATCATTGCTACATTGCTTGCATTGCCGACGGAAATATCACTTTCGATATCTATTGGAATCTWACWATGGATAAATAAATCACTATGACATGATATTCACTAGCAACAGCAAGAAGCGTTTCACACAGAGCACAAGAAATCCAGCACGAAACAAGCTGTTTTAGGTAGCCATTTGATTAAYGTACATAAGCATTTCMTTACTTGTACTTGTCTCTTGCGAAAACCACGCTAGAATTTAAAAAGCCTTAGTCTTAATATAATAAAAACTGAAAATCAATTCACTCGCTACTCTGATGTACAGAGAACATTTTAACAGTAGGCCTTTCCACTTTGTAGCCACTGTYAAGGCTGCCGTCCTATCTCCTGACAAAAATGTTTGTCTAAATACTATAGAGTCCTGTATTTGTCAGCATAATCTGGAACAGCCCTGGAAAACAAACAAGATTTCTTACTGTTAGCAAAGTATATTTTCCTGATAACACTGATCATCGCGTTTCATCTGACTGTGTGTCCCCATTTTTCTATAAATAAATTAAATTGAGGTATAAACTTGAAAATGAATGATATTCAATTTTTTTATCCTTCGCGAGTTTGTAAGGTTTCTTGTGATTGGAGGAATAAAATAATTCTCATTGCTTCCTCGCTCTTAGGCTCTATTGTTTTTTTTTATTCAACAAATGTCTAGTAAACTAATCGGATAAGATCTTTCAAAACCGTGAAAGGTCACCCATTCACCCGGGTCCATTCAGTGGTACTCTGGTTCCAGAGGTTCGATTTCTTCACTCTCTTCTTCTGTTGGCCATAGCAGCGAACAGTGAAAATCGAAACCCCTGAATTTCGACCAATGACCGATTAAGTCGAGTACGTAGGAGTGAGGATGACTATGCTGTAGTACAAGGCAAACTTACTGGGTTAATTTACTTGACAGCTTTCCATCAAAGTCAAAATGCAATGACATTTCATTTTCGTGTTCTAAAATAAAGTAAAAATGTGTGTATCAGATTGGTTAACTCTTCTGTATTATGATGGRGCCGGTAGTTCAGCTATTTTCACACTGCTGCATATAACAAGCAGTGCTTTTGTTTYATTTTTGTAATAGAATGAACAATAGAAAAGTCTATTGTATTGCACACAAAAGCCTCAGTATCAACAATCCACTGCTGAACCATGACATACGTACCTCCATCATGACTTGTTCTGATGTCCTCTCTTTAAAAAATACACATTATTAATAGGTATGGAATCAACGTCTATAGATGCTCCAATCACATAGATATTAAGGTATTTTTGAGCCAGATTTAATACCTGCACGCGCGCTAGAGTCAGAATTTGTTGAAAGAGCGCTACGCTTACAGTGTACATCTTTTACAATTCATCAAAAAATATAAAACTCAGACAGTAACTTACTCCAGTAAAAGCTGTTCAACTATGTCGTTATTGCCTTTGTTTTCCTCTGTTGATTTCTGCAAAAACAAAGTTTTTTTTAGCACCAGACTGTAAGTGCACTTTATCCTGAGACAAGAAAAAGTCAATGGTTATCACTTTGACAACGCTACATGCAGATACAGGTATGCAACAAAAACAGAAAGACATTATGGAGTCGTTTTCGCATGAGTAGGAAATTACAGTTAGCGGAACTTTACGGTTATGGTAATAAGAAAAATTGAACCAATCATAACTGAGAAAAAGTGTCCTCTTTAAAAACGACAATAAATGGTCTCTTGCATTATTCTTACCTTTTTCCATATTTTTGGTGATTCTAAAGGTAATTGTTCTGAGTCACAAATACCAGTGTCTTCAGCTTARAATGGGTCAAGAAATCTAATGATTCAAGTGGAACAATATAGTGCAGCATATGACAATGCCCAGGGGCGTATTTAGAAAGGGGTCACAGGGTGCACCTGACCAAAAACTTGCATAAATACTGAAATCCCACGGTTGAAGTGTGAAAAGATTTGTTCAGCTAAGGAAATGAGTTTTCTCATTTCTGAATGATTATTTTGCGCTTTGAATAGTTTTGTTTTGACGCCGATAWATTCGAAATATATGCCAGAATATACGCCGAAAAACGAATTCWGGAAACTCSCATGATRCCTACCTTATAAAAATACACTTCTGGTGTTATTTCATATTCTGATTTTTTGAAGCAAAGAACTCACTGCAGTTAATAAATAAATAAAGAAGTAAAAGGATACAATTGCAACTTGAATAAACTTGACTATTTTTKGAGGGTGAGGAGGGTAATGTTGACCTGAGGAGGTAAGTGTCAAACGAATGAAAACAATGCAATTAAGGTAAAATATTTCTCTCAAAATTCAAAGAATACAACTGTGATTTAACAAAATAAGAGCTTTGACAAATCTGAATGAATATAATACAATAAATTTTATTTAGTTTTTAATTAATACTAAATATTACAATTATATTAAATACTACAAATAAATACTAATAGCAAACAATGTACCTCTTACAGCCCTCTGCACTCGAAGAAACTGAGTGACCAGTTGAGTATCCAGATAATCTTGACTGGTAGCTTGCACTTCGATAATGASTAACCACKGGTGGTTCACTTGAACTTCTAAAATGACCAGGAATAAAAGATGTTTGTGAACCTTCAGGGCTTTCAGCTTGTGCTTCATTCGAGGTGGATGCAATGCTATTGGACTGACTGCTTTTTCTGCTACTGTYTCCAGGTTCTGCATTGGATGATGTTGATGTCTCTGTTGTTGGGGCTCGATTTTCATGAGTTTCTGTCAAACTAGTGTAGTGTTGGTGTGGTATCTGAGGTCTAGGAAAAACAATCAAAGTTATAAATAAGTACTGAAATACTCTCATTTTTTTGTATTTCTGCTATAACAGTGCATTTTAGAAGTATTTGCTTTTTTTCATTGCAAAAGACGTATAAAAAGTGGTGTCCTTTATATCAAGAAAGCATACAAATTGGCTTTTAGAGGGATCTTTTCAAGGACTTGATCAACTACCATCATGCTTTGCTGYACAAAGTGACMTCACTGCCCATTGTCTATTATACCCACAATGCAATATAGTTGWAGATTTATTGAAAACATGCTTTTTTATTATAATTTGTAAAATGTAGTACACTATATGATGCAGACATTTTAGCTTACACTTTAAATAACGGGTCTCCTGAGGTCAACTGCATATTGATACGCACCTGAAAGATGGAATATTATTAAGTATAAATCCTATTTCAAATAACAAATGGAAGAAAATAGAATCTATCTAATTTTTTCCAAGTATGTGTAATTTCATTGAAAAAGCTGAACAAAAAGTCAACAGAGTGAGTAGTCATAGACTGCTTTGACCAATCACAGCACTGCAAGATTGAACTGCATCCCCGTACCAAACTAGCAGATCTGTAACAGATCTGTAGCAGATCTGTTTTGCACAAAACAGATAAAGTGCAGACTATTTCTACGTCTGCAGCGTCTGCTCTTAGTCTGTGCAGACGATGGAAAATAGAAGTCTGCAGTGATCGCTTTCCAGGGGCGGATCTAGGGGGGTGAATAGGGTGGCTAGCCACCCCCCATTTTTCTAAGCTCTTCTTCCTTTTTTTTTTCTCTTATCCCTCAAATATTGAAATATTAATTGATTTCTCCAAAGACTGATTGATTCTACCTATGATTTTCCAAGCATTTATGGAACTCCATCCAAGGAGGATGATGGAACAATCACTTTTGGGGCAGTAAATAGCCTAGATGACATTAGTGGGTGTAATGTATATTCGTGTATACACGGTAAACTCTCATTGTTCTTGATAAATACTAGTTTTAAACGTTAGAGATTCTTTGCTTCAAATGAGCATTGCGTACTAAATTCCGCTTAAATTTGTTCAATAAAGAGTTACTTAAAAGGCCCACAAAACGCTGCAAATCGCATGTCCGAGAGTCTGGATTTCAAAATTTCTTGGGGGGGGGGGGGATGCCCCCTAAGGGCTCCCGGCTTCGGCGTTTGGCTTCCATTTTATTACATTATTTTAGCAATTCACCCCCCACTTCAAAGTCCTGGATCCGCGCCTGCTTTCAACTGACTAACAACAGATCATAAACAGATCTGTAGAAAGTCTGTCAAGTCTGCTATAGTCTGCAAACATTCTAAGTCTGCACAAATATATTTCTGCCGGAAAATAACTCATGACAGACTTAAGCTTTTCAAGCTATATCGTTCGTCATAGAGAAATTTTGACATGTAATAATTGCACTCAACTATATCCTCACGGAACGGTTCGCGGCAATAAATTTGAATGTTCTTTTAATACGTCTATATACAGAAAACTGTGTATTGATGTGCTCCCTTCACATATGGCCAAAGTATTTAGAAAATATTTCATGTGATGAGTTTGAAACAAATCGTAATAGCCATGCTAGCGTGCATACTGAACATTCAACAAATTATATTGCCGTTGGCTGTGCCGGCGGGAAAAGTTTGTGCATGTTCCAACATACTTACCAGTTGTTCTATAGTCAAGCAATAGAAAAGTATACTTAAGGATATAAAAGTATGTGCATAAAAAGTCTCACAAAGCTGAATAATGTTTGGGTATTAGTTACTACTAAACAATGGATCAATGGCTGGTTTTATTGCTCAGCTCAGTCACGAAAATTTCTCAACATTTCAAACACTTGGATTATTGTAAAATAGCAATTATTCATTCATAATCTACCTGAATGCTTGATTTGAACTGGAACCTTTATAGTTACTATGTTACAATACATTCTTCTTAATGCATATGTAAGTGCTATCATGAATCGTGTCACTCAGCAAACAGTTTTTGATAACGTGTATCATATTTCTTCTTTTAATAAAAAGCCTGTGATTGGTGGAGGCAGTATGTTGTGTTTTCATAATTATCATCTGCTGATGGTCTGCAATTAGCAGATCGTCCTGCAGGTGTATTGTGCAGACATTCTGCAGACATTCTGCAGACATTCTGCAGATAATCTGCAGATAATCTGTAGATAGTCTGCAGATTTTTTGCAGATTACATGCAGATCTGCAACAGACTTGTGAACAGATCTGCTACAGATCAAAAACAGATCTGCTAGATTCCTACGGGTCACCAATTACTGTAATCTATACTTTAATTGACATTAATAATATTTCTTGTCCAATCCAAGGGTGTGTAATGAGCCAGATTGTATAAAATGTATGGGATTCAACATTACGTCAGGAGATACAGATTTTATCTTCGCATGTAGTAGATCTTACACAAATATGCATAGTGATTTAATTATCAATGACATCTATTTATGTTTTTCTGGAACTCATTAATAATTCATGAGCTATTAGTCCAATGAGCATCAAACTATTGGGTCACATGATGGGCCTTTATATCCCGATAAAGCAGTGATGTTTTATTAATCAGTTCTATATCAGATATAAAGAACTGATGTTCAAGGTCATCGGCGCTTTATCGCAACCCAACACTAGCAAAGACCTGTCTCAGTTTTAATGTCGCATCATAGACCTTTGCTAGGTTTTAAATCAGTTTGAATCAATGTATAGCAATGTACAGCATAGACTAGCTGTTCTACTTGCATGTGGGATCAAAATTCTTTCAATTGTCGCCAATGCACATGCTCAGTAGAAGTTAAGCCATTCATCTGAAGTAGTGAAACTAATATCTAGTAAACGTCTACTATGGAGCACATTACAAATGTATTGATTTACCTCTAGAATAGAATTATCTTGTCTTGAGATCCTGTCATCATACCCCTCTAGAATGTATCTCCGCGTAATATTACCAGGACCTGCGTACTCAGCCAAGTTGATGTCAACAAAACCAAGCTGCAGTAATCAGCAAAAAAAATATTAATTTTCAGTTTGAATGTTAATTCTGAATCTACAAGGCATTTTTCCTACTAACTAACTAACTAACTAAAGATAGTTCTACTAGCTCCTGTGAGCTGCTGAGTGAGATAAACTTCATAGACCATTTGTTTTGAAAYATTTGTGTTTGCAAGCCTTCGATTTAGAAGCCAACAATATTCGGTCAGGTAGGCCTGTTAACCATGATAAAGTTTATGATCCTTCACTAACTGAACAGTCAGTGAAGGGGATAARAAACACGTCAAGTGATCAATGCATATAATCTACTCATTCTTTTAGAAGTATTAATGTCCACTACTCATCATGATAATATACAATACAAAATCCTAAAACACAACAGGCAATCCACTGACCTTGACATGGGATTTGCCACCTTTTGCTTCCTAAAAGACAGAAAGCTAGACTTAACCAACTCATTATTTTAGGAATAACTAGTATTTGAACTGCTTAAAAGGTAATATTGRAATTCCTGGCTTGGAGCTGTTGTTTTTATATACCAAGTGATGTCATGTAAAGTCCAACASACTGGATGGGATAATTATAAATCAGCGTAATTTGCTCCAGTCCGATGCATCAACCAGGACTAAAACTACTKGCAAAGAYTTGAAGTCCCACTGAGTCTCTGTATTGACAGAAACTACATTTTCTTAGATTTAGCTTATCAAAAGATGTTGAAAACTGTGTACTCAGCTGTAATTTTCATTTTTCTGTGAAAACTGATCCTTATTTGTATTGTAAAYATTCTTATATCATTTGTATGAAATAACATATTAAAATGATGATCACCAGGAAACATAAATTGCATTATTTAAATACTACTTTAATTTGTTTCTTCGACATTGGTTTTAATTTTCCAAAAAAAAAAAAAAAAAAAAAAAAAACGTAGAAAAAACAAAACTAGAATTTAAATAATGGATCCTACGCACGAAAACATTTTAACATAAATTGCATTGTCCAGAAAAATGCAATGCTTCTCAAAAATGTTGTGAATTATCAAGAGTTTGAATATTTTATTTTTTTTCATAAATATACATGATTATATCAGTGTTGATCACTTCTGGCTGTGGCAGGATTTTGGAATGAAAAGTCTTGTTTCAGCATACTGAGAGTTAAATTGTTTTGTCTTCAAATCAAACAAACAAATCATGCAATCAAATTTAATGCCAAAATTTCTAAAAAGACATCCAAGGAAAATACTCTATTATGGTCCCAGGTTTTTTTTAAATGTCTCCCTTGGAATCATTGCTATAGGCCTGCTTTTTAACTTAAGGCCAATCACATATCTGAGATCCATATCTGCATCATATGACTAAATAAATTTTCGCCAGCCAATTATTTATTAATAACAATTGAACTCAATAACTTGTGTACTCTCAAGGTCATACAATGTTTGGGTGAACTGATCATAACTCAATATCTCCTGCATGGACACTTTGTTATCGGTCATTAGAAAGTGACTACAACAGTTACGTCTCAGCAAGTTCTCAAGTACTCTTTATAATAAATGAAAGTCACGACTCAAGTTGATCAATAGAGCACTTATCACATTATTCTCGATTGAATTTAAAGAACGTATCACAAATTTATTTATCTGAGGCAGAGATAAGGAAGAAAATTGAAAATCATGTTATCTTTAAACAAATGTCAAGACTGTGATTATTACAAATATCAACAAATGCCTCCAATAAACCGTAACCATCAAATACAACAAGTGAGAACCTTCTTCGATGACAAATCGTGTAAACATTGCCCAAAAATAGCTAACATTCTAGAAGGGTCAGAAGCTGTAATGATCATTTGATTAGAATGAACCTGCTTAGAACAGCAGCAAATTCCAAACGAAAAATCAGCAAAATAATGAAAAACAGAATTTACCATAAAATACCAGCAAATTAAATATTTCATTCTGTATATGAAATTAAGCTTACCTTTCGAACTGACACTCGACAACGGCACACATCCAACACTCCGTTCGCTGCACTTGCTGTCATTTTGCAAGGAAAGGCAAAACTCGCCCTCCATTTAACGCAGTTATTTTTCACTTCCCTCCTTTAAAACGACAAGAGAAAAAATCCATATTAGATAAAAAGCACAGAGTACAATGTATAATGAAAGATACTAATCGAATCTACCTTGACGAAACTTCAGTGAAATTCCCTCCATCAAGAAGCCGTATTTTCGAGAAAAGTACACCACTAACGAGTGGTACACTGGAAAGCTCGTTCAAGAAGAAGTTTACTTGAAAACTAAACTTTTTCTTTTTCATTCTGTGATCTTGTTAGCCTGGTTTATGACCATTATTCAGTCTGTGAGAAGCAATCGACATTTTGCTGTATTCACAACAWCTGTACTTCCCATAATGCATTGCGAGTACCGGAAACGGAAATGTTTTTGCTCTGCAGGTCTTGGCGCGTTCTTCTAAACAGAGTCAATAGAGGCTAAATAATAAATCTGTTTTATTAAAATAATGCTACTTGAACTAGTGTTTTTAAATAGTTCAATAAACCCATGGAAGGAAAAGGAGGAATCCGAATCTCATTTATTTGATGGGTCGGCACATGCGAAATGCGAAATAATCAGTTCATCTCAATAATCATCTGCGCAGTGAATAATAGTTTGGCGGCACTAGGGGAGTGTGCAAACATTTCTATCATTATCATCATTATTATTTTTATTTAATTTGATATCCTAGAAAACAAGAAAAAACAACCTTTCAGGCTCCCTAAAGTCGCTTACAGAGGCTTCCCACAACCATGGTTGGAAATTTTAGGCAAAAAACATACGTAACACTGAACACATTGTAGGGATTTTTTTAATCTACGAGATGAACGGGAGCGGAGCTTTCATTTACACCTTTTAAACGTTTTCGCCAGGACAGAGGGTCTCAATGGGGTGGTACGCATCACGACTAAAAATTTGGCTATTGACTTTCAGAAATTTTTGAAATGACTAACAACGTTTTTCATTACTTTTTCATGTAATTTGTTTTGTGCTAGAGATAGTGAGTGTGGGAGAACAGTGTCCCTTCTATACGTTATACACTCAGTTATTATAATTTTTTATGATCACTCTCAAATGTCAAATGTTGTCCATGCCCTGACTTGTCTGCGGGACCTTGTTGGTAGGCGCGATCCATAAGAATTTTTGGGGAGGGGGTGGAAGATTTTGGGAACAAAAACTCCTGCACGGCTCGAAAGCCGAAAAAAATTCTTGCAAGGCAAAATTCTCCACTAAAAGCTTTTATTTTTTAGTTATAAGTAATAGCATGGCTCTGAGGGAGATTAGGGATTAAGTGTCCCCGAARCCGAGGGCAGATAAGAGGGTCTCAATGGGGGGGTTCGTATCACGACTAACAGCTAAAAATTTGACTTTTTCACGCCTCACGGCTAATTTTTTTCTCATTTTCACGACTCACGGCTAATTTTTCAGCCGTTTCACGGCTATTTGKTCTCATTTTTACGAGTCACGGCTAATTTTTTAGCCGTTTCACGACTCACGGTTAACCCCATTGAGACCCTCAGATAAGTTGAAGTCCCGACGGAAGCCATGCTATTACTTTGTAATTCCTCCCCACTCCCCGCTCGGCCGGCCCTCCCCAATCCCCTTAGGGCCGCTACGCAGGCTACTTTGTAATACCATGATTTCCGAGGAAAAATTGAAGTTGAACTTGAGCGAATTTGAATTCTTGTTTTTTGTATGCTCCAATGTTTTCAATCAGAAGTAATATAAACATTGCAACAAACAATTCATGCACGAATTGGAATGTGACATGAAAAGAAAGGATACGCACTGTTCTAAGAGTATCACTTGCAGAACAACAGTACAAAATGATATTGATAATCCGACCATTGTTACTGATTTCCCACAACSAACTTTGTTTGAAATTGCTTTTCAGTTCTATTCAATGCTGAAGTTAACGAACCTTAACTTCAACCCCGAAAAGTTGTTTTTATATTTGCAAGTATAATGCCAAGAAGCTTATCAACTATCATCAAACATTGAAATTYGTCAAGTGCACATGCTCAGCGGTACGAAGTAGAGACTCGGAACCAGAGCAACTCGGTCAATTTGGCCCAAAAATCATCCCACATTTCAGTGTGATTGAGACGATAAGCAGACCGTTCATTGCAGAGGTAAAAACAAGACAGCTGTAGGGACATTCAGTTGTCCCTGCTGGGAAGCAAGGGTTTCCTTTGCCTTCCGTTCCTCATGAATAACATGAGGGATGATTACTGGTAATCGCCCCTCATGCTATAATGCATGTGGGACGAGTAATAGGGAGGAGGGAGGGATGTTCGCTTGTAAACATCCCTCGGAAGACAAAAGAATCCTAGGTGATCATGGTATTAATTTACTAAAAAAAAACTACAAGCGCGCGCTTGGAGTTTACTGTCCTTCTGAACAATACTGAATCACGGCTCACGCTATAAAAAAATATTCACGCCTCACGGCTAATTTTTTCTCATTTTCACGACTCACGACTATTTTTCAGCCGTTTCACGGCTCACGGTTAACCCCATTGAGACCCTCAGGACACAGCACACAGTCTTGAGCCTGCAAAGAATCTCGGGGTGTCCACCCTGTAATGTACTTCAAAATTTATTTGGCCTGTGTGGTTTGAATTCAATGGCGGCAAACAGTTCTAATAAACTACTGCACGGGTATTAAACCCATAGAATGAAGTCATCGAACAAGCCATGAGATTTTCCTTGAAGTTGAAAGCTATGTCTGATACAAGACCGATGTTTGAATCAGAAAGTGAACATATAATTATATATGGCAATCCCGAGATTCTTTGCAGCCTCAAGACTGTAGACTGTGCCCTGGCGACGACAACAAATAGGTGTATAYGTTGTAGGATCCGCAGATTTCACCTTTCGTAGCTACCCTAAGGTGATAAGGGAGGGCCGAGCGGAGAATGGGGAGGAAGAAAAGGAAGGGCATCCCAGCGATCCTCACAGTTTATCTCGAACGGTCGAGACTAAGAAGCTGCCAATCAAATTCTAAATCAAGTTGGCGTTGTTTACTGTCTGCGGGGAACGTTTGATAATCGATCGTTGCAAAAACTACCCATAGACTGCATAGATCACATACGAGTAACAGGGAGAAAGGAAAAATTCTCCCTTCTTATTCATAGTGGGGAAAGCTCTCAACAAAATTGGCTAAAACTAAGCCAGATGGTATGGAAGCATATCAAAAACACAGCGGGAATGTGTCAAAACGCAGGCATTTCAGGCATATAGGTAGCCGCGAATGTGTCCGCATTCAGACCATTTTTCCAATGGACCCTCGAAATTCCATGACGCTACACACTWGTCTCCTTCGCATCCGTTTCCGTTGTCAAAACGCGAAGCGTAATCTCCCCCACAAATTACGCTTCGCGTTTTGACACCGATAACGGATGCGAAGGAGACTAGCTACACACAGGCTCATGATCGAGGTATTATACAAGTGGCTGGGATAATCGATAATCGTTGGTAGAAGGACAATGGTGTGACGAGAAAACACTTAACAATATCACTAGATCGGACGGAAACAAATAAAACATTATCAATAAATTGACACGAAAAGCAGCTAACAATCTTTTACAGACATTGCTCGGTCGTCCACAAATTTATCAAATGGCGTCAAAGATTGGTGTAGGCACAGGCAGCCCAAGCTGGTGGTCAAGGCTATAAAAAATTATATAAAAATATCGAAATAATGTTCGAGTTGAACTTATTSCCTATCGAGCCCAAATACACACAAGGAAAAACGGAAATAAGCTCAAGGTAGRAAAACGTTATTGCGAATATTCATTTATTATTTATATTATTATTACTTGTCGCCTGCTCATCAGTTTGGGCTGCCTGTGGTTTAGGGATGCTTGCTTCGAGCCATCTGCCAGCCTAAGGCATGCATGAACTCACATTGAGGGTTAAGTAGCGTGAGTACATCTAACTCGGTCCAACGGTAGTGTGCAATATAAAAACATTATCAGTTTAAAATTGACGAGAATCCTCAAAGAGAAGAAGAGTAGGAAAGAGAGGAGGTAAATTTAATCTGAGAGTCTTGTCTTCAAATCCTTTTCTTCTCTTTCCTCACCAACATCGCTTTCAAAATGCATCCCGGAAATGACGTTTTAAATAGACAAAGGAACTTAAAGGTCAACCGAGTGCTTTAAAAAGTACCAACAGAGGAAGTTCAAATCAAAACTAGTCCGACAACAAACCATTCAGCTTTAGAACGGTTACAAGCTGAATCCCGATGCAGTCTTTTGTTCGATACCTGCCGTCGTTATTGCTATTGTGGTGTCTTCATGATGGTAAGATGACTTTGGATCTCTGTCAATGACTTTAGTCTATATTTTATGTGCTTTATAGGTATATGATTTCCTGTCAACATGATTTCTGGATATCGGCCTCGATATATAAAGCTCATATTAATTATCTTTGTATTTACGAGAAATTTCAAGTTTTGCATCCTATAGTAGGCTGGTTTATACTGCGACACAAGCATAAGTGTTTGAGTGAAACCAGGCATTTTGAGGAAGGGTGTGCAAAAATGCTTTTGCTTATGTCTATAAGTGAACCAGGCCTTAGTTTTAGTGCCTGTGATGCCTGAACAATATATTTGCTGATTCTCTGCTTGAAGTGATTCTATATAAAGTAAATAATTGAAATATTACTACTCCGAACTTCTCCGGCAACAGTCGCTCAAAAATGTTTTCATGAACGCCATTTGGGAATATGGTTATTCCCTACATTGCCTACGATAAATTTAATGTCATGAAACCATTTTTAAGCGACTCCTCCAAAGTTCGTATATCTTATGAAGCCTTCTCAGTTGACAATAACATMWTGTWRKA